CTCAGACTCGCTCAGTACTTTCCATTTCAAAACTGAAAATCAAAAATTCTATTAGTTCAGGAACAACCAAGAAGGCGACGAAAAAATTATCTGATCTTAAAAGCTTAAGCCCGTTCAAAATGCACATACCAATTTAGAGAGCAATGATCACAGTTCGAAAAAACGAGAGTTGCTTCTGGCACTTGCTTATGGCCTTAAAAACTGTTCTTTTGTCGAACAATTGCTCCACGGCTACATTACACAACAAAAGACGATTATTCATAAAACGATTAATTATTATTTACATATTTATACATTTCGCCTCGAATGGACCCCAAAAATTTTAGCAACGAGCCCGGCATCCTCAATCTGCTGTTCAAGAAAAGCACCCAACTGCACCATTAGCTCGGGAGCAGTCACAGCTCGAATGGCATCAAGAAAGGCCGCATTCAAATCTACAAAAAACGACACAACCGACAGCCCCGCGGTCACAAGAGGCGGCACATAATTCACCATATTGTCCTCAAGAGAAAGAACAATAGCATGCAGCTCAGCCTTGGAATCACCCAATACAACCGCGACCTCAATATCGACATCGTCCTCAATCCGAGGGAGCTCTTTGTCCATATATCTAGCGATATCCACTAATCTCTTAACCAATAACTGTGCTACCAACATCATGAGCTTGAATATAATTGTCAAAACGAAGGCATACAGCGTCAACAAACAAATCCTCAAATACGCAAAAGTTGAACAAATGAAAAATTTGGTCATTTTGCTCAGTAAGTGCCATGATCACTCAATTTGGACTGCAAGGTAAACATCCTGTTTACCTGATTCAAAGTAAATGTCACAACGGTCCCACAAATTCACATCCCAAAAGTAAAAAGCCATTTGACGATCCTAGACTTGCGAAAACCAGTGCAAATCGTACAATTCTTTCATTAAATCCAAATCAACCAGGAGCATAGGGGGAAAATGTTATTACTACTCCTCATCATACAAATAGGCCGTACTTCGGCATCTAACGATGATGTTCTTTCCTCTGGGATAATCTTCCACAAAGAAAGTAAGATCCTCCTGGCAGAAAAGCTTGTAAATGTACAGTTCCTTATTCCTTTCCCAGATTACAATTCCACGATGAAGACAGCAATGAGGAATTACCTCAACAAATTATCGGAGAAATGGCGAACACCCTCCATCGAGTGCCCTCTAGACTTCTCCACGAACTTCAACTCAACGACGGACCCATTCAATCTTAACTGGCTACTGGACATGATCGAGGACAAGGCCGAAGCGGCAAAACAAGAAGCTCAGGCCATTAGAACTGACACTTCCCGCTTCCTCAACAAAAACCCGCTAGATTCAACACGTACTCGCAGAGGAGCTCCACTGATTGCAGCAGCGGCCATCGCCGGCATTGGTATATTCCGATCCGGTATAATGATGGGCAATTCAGGAGGATGCGGAATTATGGGAATTTTTGGATCATGCCAGGACCCGTTCAAGGCGAATGCAAAGAACATCGAGACCTTGGAGCAATACTCAATGGAACTTACGGATTTTGTATCAGAAATTGAAACATCAAGCAACGAGAATGTCTTTGCGATTTCCAATGAGTTGTCTGAAATCAGAGCAATTCAACAGCACATCATCGAAAACCAAAATCGGAACTGGAAAATGATCGAAGAACAATTTGCAACAATCCAAGGAAATTTCCACATCTTGGGGGATTGCACACAAACATTGTTCTCAAACCAACAGATCAATTTCAACTTCGACACAGCAGCATCACTACTAAACGTGGTCTATGCCGATATCACGAGCTATAAAACTGCACTCTATGCTTTCAAGACAAACGTTTTAAACTCGATACCAACTCTGCTGGACAAACGACTACCGATTTCTCTTGTTCCGCGAGAATCCCTGTTGGCGTTTATAGACGCTGTGTACTAAAGCCAAAAGGAAGAAAACCACCGAATGACCCTTGCGATACCGCCATGCGATATCCACTCATATTATGACGCGAAGCTGCTTCGCGATGTCACAACAATTGAGGAAGGACTTCTGCTCAACCTAGCAATACCGTACGCATCGAGTCAAACAGCTTTCTAGATGTACCGGGCCGGGCCCAGGTGTTACCTATGCCTCAAGTAGATCCAACCGAAGCCATAAAATTGGTCAGTGAAGGACCCTATCCGGCCATATCGGAGGACTCCATGGAGACAACAGTCCTGACAGAAGACCAGTATGCCAACTGCTTGGGAACCTCGACGTACCGGATCTGTCACCAAACCATGGAGACACACTTAGGACAATCATCATGCCTGGCAAAATTATACTTCCACTCCACAATGACTGCATTGACGGTGTGTGAGACCGAAAAACGTCTTCTTCCGACGCCTGAAAAAGCGACCAACCTTGGATACGGAATTTGGCTAATCACTTCAGCCGGTGCTGCGTTCTCTCTACGGGAGTACAGTCTTGATGAACTGAACACGCCCAAACGAGAAGACCACCCTGGCTGCAATATTTGCTTAATAACTTTGGACTGTGGGACACAGCTAATAAGCAAATATATAAAAATCAGACCTGATTTAGGCAGCTGTGACAAAATCCCTGCAAAACGGATCAGCGTATCTTTACCGGACCCATTAGCACATTTGATCTCAGAATTACCAGATTTAGACGACCTCCCATACTTCGAATCCAAAACCGACGCCGGAGTGAAACTACTCAGAGAAGTTAGAGCGACTCATCCGCAGTCCACACCTGACCAATGTAGATCAACTGAACGAGATAGCAAAGCCTATTGCACACAATATGCGACTGCTTAAACCTAGCCTTGTGGACAAGATGGAACAGTATGTCCCACTCAAACTGTCTCTGACATTGACTATAGTTGTGTTCTTCGGAAATTTACTGCTGCATGCACTGGTAATGTATCTATATCACCGCTTCGCGATCTTCAGACGATTAACACCAAAATTTATGAAGTCAGGCGATGGAAGAATCGAATTGAAGCCCGTACTGTCAGTATCTGCAGCTAATCGAAAAGAGTTTGTAGAACAGGGATCTAAGATCCGAGAGAAATATATGGTGCTAACTCAATACGAAATCAACGGACACCAAGTACCGAAAACATATTCGCGAAAACCTCAACCTGCTTGTCTGTGGGACTATCAGGCAGAAGACCGGACTCCACTATTGAAGTTAACGAAGACAGAGAGGAGAGAGTAACCCAAATTTGAGCAGTTAAAATTGTATCTCATTTAATACACCATCATTTTCATTCTGACTGACGAAGTGGCTTTTATAAGTTATTAACCTTGCTTCTCCCTAAAAAGAGAAAGAAAATTGTATCATAGTTTTAGGGACAATTTTTTGCGTATATTTGAGTTCCACTTTAAACCATTTAACTTTGTTTGCCAAATTCTGCAACTATATGAGTTACGAATGTTGTTTATCTATTTAAATAACAATTAGTTTAAATTGTACTGGTGCTATAACCTCTAAAAACTTATGCTATTTTCAATGCAGTAAATTGTTAAAGTTTCAATGCAGTCAATTGTTAAACCTGCCCAATTAAAAGTAGTGATGTAACTACCTAATCATAAGTTCTTCCACAAGCCGCCAGGGAAAAAACAACAAGTATGTAGGTGTAACATAGTGCTTCACACATATGTTAGCTGCTAATCATTAATTACCATAATTGGTGCAATTTAGATTAAAATGTCAATGCCATGTTACGTCAAGGATAAAGTTTTAAATCTATATTTACTTAATGCAAACAATGAGGAGAATGAAAGAAGGAGAAGAATTGGAGAGCCATTACAATCAAGGAGCTCAAAATAGTAATTGAAACATTAACACTCACTTTTATTAATCGATCAGCTTAGACTCTAGAGAAAGGGGGTAGCCATCACGAAGCACATTCCTGAGACGAAGATATTAAGCCTAGACCGCGCATCCATAACAACATACTTCATCACTCTGGACTACAAAAGCAACACTTATCGATCAAGCGTTTATAGCCAGAATCGCTATATTACAGCCAACGGCATGTTTGTGATGTATCGCAATTGCTGCGAAAATCTGCTTCTGCTCTGTGTTAGTTTTTTATAAACTTATTATGAAATTCAATTGTTTTTTCATAAAGTCATTCTAAGTGTAATTAACGTGTCAACGCAATTCATTTGCCAAAAGGCAGTCAAAAATTGCTATCGAATAACAAATGTTTAAATGGCGAGAAAATACGTGAATGACTCTAAATTTCAAAATTGATTTCAATTTTCAGTATCCAAGCATAATAATAAAATGTTTGGTACAGTTTCTCAAATTGTGCTGGTTGTATCCAAAAATGCCAATAAAAAGTTCATCAATTTCAAAGAGTTTTAGGAGATGATTCTTTTCTTTGCAACTCGAAAATAATAATTTAACAGCAGTCAGAGGCCGAACCAGAGGCGGTTAAATATTTACGTTGACAAGAGGGTGGTACTAGTTTACTTGTTTGGTACCGTGACAAAACTAGTTTAGATGATTGGTCCCGCCTGTTTTCTAAAAAGAAGAGCCGGCACGGGATTTGAATCTACGCCTTGGGATTTTTACCCGCTATACTAACTAGGCCTGTTTCGGCAGCAATATAGAGAAATAAAAACGCTCATTGTTAGAATTAGTCACCTAATGTACCTCGGTTTTTATTTGGGACCACAGCAGTTATGAGGCACCAAACAAGGAACCTAGTACCGACAAGAGCTCACTGAACTAGATTTCATTAAGCTATTCGTATTTGCATGAATTCACCTTGGGATTTGAACCGGCAAGCATACGATTGCTGGGCAACGTCGCTACAGAACGCCACTATGATTTTGTATATGAATTGATATTAACTTGTGTTCAACCTGACAGTTAGCTTTCGTTTAGTTTATCATCTGAAATTTTTTGTTTGTATTGTGAAAAAAAAAACAGTTTTATCTACAAATTTTAGTTTCAAAAGAAATAAATTTATAAATGATGTTTGTTCTAATATCCATAAGAGTGTGAATTTGAATTGTTCACTGCAAACGATCCGAACATGTTCTGAGCGGCTGCTGTGTTGTACCCTGTAGTGTACGGGTTAGCATAGGCTGAAAAGGAGTGGTGCGCTGCCCAATAGTGATGTGCCTGTGCTGTACTTAAGAGACCTGGTGTTGTGGCTGTAACGTTGGGAGCCGCATGTGCCATTGCAACAGCCGCTGCATTTGCAGTGTCACTGAAGAACTGGTTGTTCGTGAATGGTGCTGAAGGAGTGACTGCTGCAGCTCTTGGCTGTGCCTGAATGAATGGGTTCATTTTCTGAGCAGCAGCCATAGAAGCTAAGTTCATTGGGGGTAAACTGGTCATGGGGAAACCGGTAGCTGAAAAATGAGCGGCGGCTGTGTTGTATGTATGGAAGTATGGCGCTATTTCCGAGTGAGGTTGGTATCTAATTGTAGCTGCGGCGTGGTCTCCATACGCAGTGCTTTGAGTGAATTGAGCCAGGCCGTGAAAGTCGAATTTGTAAGCGTATCGTTTGCCATGCACTTTACTCATGATATTTTTGTCGTAGTAGTATCTCAGTGCTCTTGACAGTTTGTCGTAATTCATGTTGGGTTTCGATTTCCTTTCGCCCCATCTTTTGGCTGTTTCGTCTGGGTCGGTGATTTTGAATTCACCCGAGTTGCCTTCCCACTGGATACAGTCGGAGTTCTTGTTGTCCGAGAGAAGCTCAAGTAGAAATTGCCAGAGTTGAATCTGTCCAGATCCTAGAATAGAATTGAGGTTACAGAGTGAACTTTGGTAGAAACTCTCATCTGATTCAATTTAGCGAGTGAACAACTAGTTAACAACTTTTTCCTCACTTTTATTCAAAATAATCCCATTGTCTTACAATTATCAATACCGGTGATTTCGTAAATCTCAGCTGCGGGTATGGAAATTTGTGAATTAGAAATGATAATACCTCAATCCAGTTTTGGATTAATCATAATTGAACTGAAATAAGTTTCTTGTCTCAAATGGTCACAAATTGTAAACATGGTGGAAAAATATGTTGTTTGAAGAAATTTCGAATCAACTTGAAAATAAACAGCTCACCTTTATACAAAAGAGGGCTTTGAGTTGACACCTGTCCGTTCGATTTGTTGCTGGGGCTAGAGAGAGGTTTCGAGGAATCTGAAAAAAAAGAAAAAGTGGCATTTGTGGTTACTTCTTTATAAATATACTTCGAAGTTATTTTTAAAATATTCTTCATTCTTAATATTTTTGGTTGTTAAATGATATCAGAATTCCTCGTTGTTAATATTTATTAGCTAGTTGCTTTTTTGATTCTTTCATTAATTCGTCCATCAAAGGAAATGATATCCTGAGACTCTGTTTCTGTTTGCTGCTAACTATTTCCGTTTCGAGGAATATCACTGGAGTTATTTCTCTATTCACAAAGTAATTATGCCTGTATTGTGAAGTCCTTTTATTAACGAATTTCCGTTTTGTCAGCTCGACATTTATTAACTCTAATCAAATTTCGGAGTCGAAATTTTTTGGAATTTAAATAGCCAAATTCACCTTGACATGGACCTAGAACTCCAGGCAGTGAAATAGGCATATATTAATACAAGACTGCCCCAATATCAGAGCCAAGACCTGAAAGTTCCGACTGTTTTAAAACCAATTTAATTTTTTTCAATTATCCCCCATTTTTTCATTTATTATCCCCACACGCGCTACTGTAGACTACAAAGGGATGTATTTAGCGTCTTGTATCCTTAAAATACGACCAAATGACTTGCCTCAATTCTAATTGGAATGCCTTAATCCGTCGCTTGCGCGTGTTATACGAACGCAATATATATATATTCAAAACCACTTAACTTTACGAAAAATGATCAGAACTAGAACTTAAAAATATTTTTAAATTTGAGCTGAAGAAACCTTTCAGATGGTATAAAACAATACCGTCAAAAATGCTTAGTTAAAAAGTCGAAAATTGACTGATAAAAAACTACCCCAAGCATAAATATTCCGCACTTTCTTGTCGAAATTAAAAATTAACGATATAAATTGAGTTTGGAAATATATTTACCATTTTTGTCGTCCAATTTTTGCGCCGAATTTTCGAGGTCGCCATTTTTGGTCGCGCTTTGACTGTAGATGTTTGCTGAAACATTTTTTTGAACCTCGAAATCGAAGAAGCATCTTAGAACAAGGCGCAGCTGTTTTAACATATTTTAAACTTTTCTAATAATATTCAAAAAGCTTTTTCAGTCTTACTTAATCAAATATCAATCGCAATATTAACTTTTCTAAGCCAATTTTTCTGCGGTTTTTTTGTCCAAATAAATGATCGAACATATCTTTTTTGGCTACTGCTCTCTAGAAAATGTATGTGCTCTGAATTAAAATGACTTTCGCCGTTTTTCTTCCTACGCCAGTTTTGCTAGCCGATAGATGGACATAAAATGATGAAGAACGAATATGCACCTTCTTTGATGAAGTTTAGGTGACACCAGACTATCTCGCCGTAGCATGAGCCGAACATGTCGATGAAGTCGGCCTTGTTGAGTTGTGCGAGTTGTCTGCCGTCGGTGGAGGGCGACAGTTTCCCGCTGTCTAGACCACTTAGATGGTACTCTTTGCAGATCCACTCCAACCATTCCAACACCTGCACCCCACTCCACGACTCCAGATCTGAAGCAGAGATAGTCAGTTGTTTACAAACTAACTGAGATATTTAAGCAAACGTTGACATTTAAGATATAACTGATATTGTGTTGACATCGTAGCCCGAAGAGTTCTATCAAAATATGGCAGGGCTCTTTTGTAAAACAGAGTTTACCTAAAGCTCATCCCTTCTTAATATGATTTTTTATAAATATGTTCTATAGTTTTTAATATACTGTCCTATTGCCTGTAGTTCAATTAATTATAAGCTGGGATCCACTAGAGCGTTGTATTTGAAATTCGAATTTTGCTGCAATCTGATTGCCGAAAGTTCACTACTTTAACTAAACGGGGGGGGGGGGGGGGGGGAGGGGGAAGGGGAAGGAAGTAGAGGTGAGGGGGGAGTACGGGAGGGGAGGGGGGATTGTTAAGTAGATCCCAGAGCTGCAAGCGTTGCCGTTCAGTTTTTTTTTCAAGGAACGCTCAAAACAGCGTTTTCTCCAATTGCTGTCCGCGGCTCGGAAATATTTGCCTTATATAGATAAAATGAGTTTCGGCAAATTTTCAAAACGACTGACCCAAAACTGTTTTGGATGTTGTAAGCTTGTAGAGCATGAAATCAAAATTGGCAATCTCTTTTTACTAGCTTTCGAATTGCTTTATGAACCCAAGTTGTTAGGAACTACTGAGGAAATGGTGTGTGCTTTTCTTTGTACTTGGATTTTCTAAAACGATGGATATAGTTGAATCTTCATCTTCAAATCAGAACGGTATTCAGCGGGGAATTTTCTCCGATAGGAAGTGGGCTAATTTTGGGATCTAAAAGGCCGATAAGCGAAGGGATAGTAGATTATTACGGAATTATTGAGTGTGAAAATACAACTGTTTTAAGATGTGATTGCGAATATCTCCTTGATTCATCTGACACCTTTTGCTCAACTGTGAAAGATTGATTGCTAGTGGGGCATTGAAATGAGACTATATTCATGTGCATCAATATATACATGTGTGCGGGGGGCAATTGAGTATGAAATGATGAAAGTGATCACACTTCTCATGCCGAAACAGGTGCACTGGACCCTGTAATCACCTAACCCCATAAAATCTTCCCCCTCCCCTCCCTTTGGGGATCGCTTTTACATCTAAATGACTGCATGCATCGGTGGTGTTCTCAAGAAATGCTATGTAAACAGTCTTGAAAAGAGTAAATAGGTTTTTTTGGGACATTTTGTAGTTCTCTGGAAAATAAATCGACCTTGAAAATTCAATATGGCATTGATTATTCACTGATTTTTTAAAAAACTTATTTGCGTTAGTGTTTCTTAAAACTTTTTTTATAGTTGTTTTCTAACCTTGAGGCAAAGACAAACTAGTTTCCTGTTCCCCATACGATGTTTTATCTTCTGAGCTGTCTTTGGATGTCTTGCTGTTGTATACACCCCCGATACCAGGTGACAAATTGTCCTCTTTTCTCCTCTGAAGAGAGGGGAAAGAATCGAGAGGATCTGAATTCGGATTGTTCAATCTGCTGCCACTGTAAGAGTGTGAATCTGAGCAATGGCTGGATGAGATATCTGCCAAAGTAGACCCACTCCCACTTCTATTATATGCGTGGGGGTTGCCGGTGGTGTCTGAGGTAGTCAGAGGCAAAACCCCAATTGAGTTGTACCTGAAGTAAGATGGTTATACAACAGATGTGAGGTATATGTTAATACGATTAGTTATGCTTTCTAAAAGGGAGCTACGTGATCATCGTCAGAATAAATTTTTTTTCGGCAGCAATACTAGCATGGGACTTCGTGTCACAGCTCAAAGCTTCTATCCGGATGCTCAGACTACTTTTTTTAAAGTCGATGAACTTAGTGAAGGCTCTCATATAGATCTTTGTTTTTTCAGGACGCTCTATTTTGTTCACGCTCATGTTCGACTTTGATTTTTTTTGTATATGTTTCGAGGGTCAAGGGGACTTAAAGTTTTACTTTTTTTAAAATTTTTTTTAGTTTCTTTTTTTTTCGGTTTAATAAATTTCGGCCTATACTATATCGATTTAGTCACCTCATATTGCGTCGCTCGATGAGCGGAGAGGTTTTTGATGTGCGTATGTGAGTGTTTTGAGGGCGAGGGGGACTTAATAAACTTTTATTAGTCAAAATGTTTTTTTTTTGGCTTTTTTTAAAATTTTTTCGGCTTAATTGGTTTCGGCCTATTTTGTATCGATTTAATGGCCTCATGTTGTTTATCTGGCGAGCGAATAAAATTTTTGTGTGTGTGTGTGTGTGTTTTGAGCGTGAGAGGGACTAATAAATTTTGTTAAGTTTTTTTTTAAATTTTTTTATTCGGCGTAAAGGATTTATGCTAAGGTTTTTTTTTGGTTTTGTTACTGCTTGATAAGTATGTTTTCGATGCTAATTTTGCATTTTCTGTCTTGAAACGTTTTTGTTTCAAAACTAGTCTTTTTCATTTTGATTGATTTAGTTTTTTCGACGTTTTCAGTTTTTTTCGACTTAGCGGCTTTCTTGTTTTGTATCACTAGTGATGCGAAGCTCAGCTTCGCCTCTATGTCTCAAATTGGGTTGTTTTTTGTCGAAAAAGTGTCAATCATATATATATTTTTTTGTAATTCAAAGAGCCGTAAGGCCATATATCTGCTGAGGAGGTTGATGTTCAAAAAACAAGTCAGTAGTTTTTTTCTGTTTCCTTGCGTTGATTGATTTTTTTCCATGTCGGTTGGATACGATTTATTTGGAGCTCAAAAAATATGTCTAACTCCTGCGGATACACAACTCAGTATTTGAATTAAGTGTATCATTAAGAAATTTTCACCTCAGTTAGAATGAATGAAGAATCTTGACGATGGTGACTTGTAGTTAAAATGGGGATACCCTAGTCAGTTAGTGAGATGATTATCAGCGTATCAGGCCTAGTGGTTATCAGGCTTATCCGTTATTGTGTGGGAAAACTGCAGAACCCGCTGATAAGGGGAGTCCACTGGAAAAAAAGCGATTCCGTCGATTCGACTAAAAGACTGTTTTTTTTCTGTGCTGGGCAATCGAGACATAATGATGTATATTGTAAATGTATCTTACTTGATAGCAGCATTGTCCTCTCCGAATGTCTTGACGAAGTTGGCGAATGAGTTCGCGATATACTTGTTGTGCTGTTGCTGCACTGAAGAAGGAACAGCAGAGGAGCCAATCGCACTGCCAACTGATCTTCCTCCAGTCGTCCCAGGGCCGGATTCGTTCACCTATAACAATTGTGAATAATTTGTAAATTGAGCACTCTGATGAATAAAATTTAAAATTTTAACTCAATTCTCTTGCAATTGTCCGAAAATTCCAAATACTGTTATAAATTGCTAAACGAAGATTCAAGCAAGTATTTCTACCGAAAATTTTGAGAATGTCATTTAAAAAAAAAATGGAATCAGTTTTGAGAAAATGGAAAGGAACGAACTCTGTGCAAAACTGTTGTTTAATTCGTCTAACCTGTAATAGTGAAGTGTGCGGTGGGTTGAATGAGTGAACCGAAGAAGTGACAGCTGCCGCCAGTCCCAAAGAGGAGGAATCGGAGGAGTGGGAAGAGCAGGGGAACGAGGACGAAGTGGAGGGAACAGTCAGACTTGGGAGAGGCAGAGACCCCATCACAGATGCCGAAGAAGGAGTGCTTCTCTATAAATAAACAAACAAAATAATTCCAATGCACTTTCTTTCATTTTGGGAGAAACTAATTTGTTCCTCCCAGAAAATTTTCTGAAGGTGTCAAATTAATTAGTGGACTATTTCACAGATGGCGGGATCAACCGTCTTTCCATTTTGTTTGTATGAAGATGTGTATCTACAATCATCCAGCTAATGAATTTTGATTCAAAACTGATTACGTTTTTTTGCCAGAGCTTCTAATATACGCTCACCTCCGCACTGAGAATATTGGCCAAAAGCGAAGAAGTCCTCGGATAGTACTGCGGCATCGACGTCATTGGAACCATTCCACAATCACCACTGCGGGTAATGGCGACGTCATCCGCTGCAGATGCGCCACTGACGCTGAACAAGTTCTTGGCCCCGAACGCGCTCTCGTGATTCGACGACAACGAATGAAGCGGGAACCCAGTTGGCACTGGATCATGACCGGAGGGTCTGCTGAAGTCATAGCCCGACATTGACTCATGAGGTGGTGAGACGTTCGAGTTCCCGGTGTATGTCGAGAGTCCTTGACTGTCGACATGAGAGTAGTTGTCCAAGTTTAAGCCTTTGAAGCTCTGAAGTCGTAAACAAAATTAGAAAGTTAGCAATTTACACTTAGAAAATCCAAATGCAATTTTGAACTAACTGGAAAAAAATTCACTACTGATTTAGATGAAGTGTTTTTTCCGGGCAGTTGAAATATGTAAAGAGTATTGAACCTCTTTAGTTTGAATATTAATCTGTCAAAATTGGTACTCATTACTGTGCTTTTTATTAGTACAGCATAGTTGTGATTTATTTAGAAAAGTGGCGGTGGTGTGAACAGCGAGGAAGTTCTTGAAAGATATGTGAAGATGTTTTTACGTCTGTGAAGACAAGAACAACAATTTCCCCGCCGGATTTTTCAGAAGAAATCCGAACATGTGTGTTAGGGGAAACTCAACTTCCGAGCAGAGGAAGTTACTCTCTAGTCGAGTCTTTATTTTGTCTCCCTCTGACCTTATTATTACCTGTTCACAATCTAATCACACCAAACAACATGTCTCTGAAAGCGTCCAAAAGTGTCAAACAGAATTGAAAGTATTTCCTCAACGATGTTGTGTATAAGTTAATTTAGTAACTACTTACCATTTGAAACATAAATAATTAGCCGTTTAGTTTTCCGCAGATAAATGATTTCAACTGAAGATTTGAGGGATGTTTAGGGAATTGTTTGCTTGCTCTTCAGTAATTCCTACCTGAGGAAAGGAGAGGGGAAATCCTATTGGCTCTTTGTCTCATCCAATCACGGTCTAATCTTTCCTCTTTTCGCCTCCGTTGCTTTCCCCTGCAGGTGATTGTTTTCCTGCATGTAAGTGCAGTTATGCTTAGTTGTCTTTAGTTCGAGAGGAATGGAATGGTTGCTCTTTTTACTGCAGAGTGGAATATAAGCGTAGACTATCTGCTATGAGAGGTGCATTTAGTATAGATGAGTATATATGGATGTTATGGCTTTGAATAGCTCGGAGTGTTGATAAAAAATAGATGAGGGCTGAAGTCATAAACAGAGAACAAAAGCCAATTTAGATCCAATGTCAGCTGCTTTGTTCAAGCAGCCTCGTGTTTCGCTCGTTTTCTGCGCCACAAAACCCCATCAATTATTTCTACGGCAGCCGGCAACAAATATTTCTTTGAGCAGTGAACTTTTTCACCACTGATCATTTTGCAATTGTTTTCCTTCTAATCTAAACAATCATTTTGAAATTTCTCTCTGCCCAAATCCGGAATATACAGGGAAAAATTGCCCCATTCCTGAGAACAGTCAATTGTATTGGTCTCAATTGGGATCCTTGGACAATGTCCGGTCAACTGTTTTAAGGATTGATGTTTTTGAATGATGAATAGCTATGTTGTGACAATGTGAGAATGGCGTGGTAAAGCAAAACAATACCTAGTCAAAACTTAACGAACAAGCCTTTAGATGCAGATCTGGAGTTTTTTTTTCAGTAACATGCCTTTGGGTTATTTTGGGCGTGTAAATAGCCTTATAATTAATTTACCGCCATTGCTGAAAGTTTAAAAGACCCAACTGAAACATCTATTTTTTAAAATCGTTTTGGCTAAAACCATGCTTAGGAGCCAACATCATTTTAACCCTGCAGCGAGAAACACTTTGACTTGCTTTCGAATTGAAATGTATGTGAAAATGTACTTTCGACGATTGATGTCCAGTAAAACAGGTCAAAACACTTTTTTTACCAAAAAGCCCCCCTTCTAGACTATAACCTCTTAAGGCGACCCTGTTGACTTTGCCGGGAAGGGGGTCTGGGTTTAAAAGGAACCCACCTGAAGTTTTGTACCATCAAATTTATTCTTAAAGTTTTACAAAAGCTCTTTTTAAGAGAAAAACCTAACGGAAAAGAATTTCACGCCTATTATAATGTTCAGAAATTTTTATGGCTCAATTTTGGAATGATTTTAATCATAATTGATCTGAAGTTGCGGTAGCCTGATAACTTCAAACGCCGCAATTCAAAACATCTTTTTTTTGGCTAAAATATGTCCAACCCCCAGGGTTGGCTTGTTAATTAACACCATGTTAATTAACACTGTTTTTCTAACGTTAAAAAACATCGAGATTTTAACTTTTTTAACATTTTATATTTAAACGAAGTAGTTTTTGCAATACAGCTCCAAAACATGGCTTTTACAATTGGCTTTTGTTTGTTTTCTCAGAAACGCCGAATTGATCACATGCACATCCAATCAAATAGTTGTTCGTTGCAAGCTGAGAATTATACTGCAACCAACTGAGAATTAAATGGCGGCTGAACAGATCAACTAAATTTGGTTGCGAAAGATTTGGTTCCTAATTCGGTTGTTTCAAAAGTGACGGAAGTTGCGAAGTTTTTCCGCAATTGTCATCTGCCACAGTCTTGGCTCCAAGAACTTGGAGCAAATCGAGCTCCAATGCCTTCACTGGTGAGATGGAACAGTGTTGAAAAATTGTTGTCGTGGTACATTGAAGAATGGCAGAAACTCAGGCGGGTTGTTGAAAACAACGTCCAATATTTTTCAAGAGGAGCGGCAAAAAACATCAGCGACCTCCTGAAAAACATGACTCTGTACAAAAACATCGAAGATGCTTTGAAATGTTTGAAAACAGTTTCTGTGGCTTTGAACAAGATGCAGTCTGACAGTATTGAGATAGCGACAGGGTTCGAAGTCTGGAAGGACCTTCTTTCTACTTTTCGTGAAATGGGCTCCGAAGGACGAGAATGGTTAGAAGTAGTAGAAAGACGGTACGAAAATTCTGTCCCGCCGCTATGGTGTCTTGCTAACGTGCTGCACCCAAATTTCGTTGGGAAAAAGTTGACAACAAAAGAGTGGAAATCCGCGAAAGACTGTTTTGTCAAAATGTATCCTGACGACGTCCCGGAGTTCATCCATTTTATTGGATCTTTCAAAGACCAATATAACAATGAATACGAACAATCAGGTTGTCCGGTAGTGGCCGATTTCATCAAGTCCCAAGTGTTGACAGGAGAATTGAGTGTGAAGCTTGGAAATGTCTCTGAAAAAATTCTAAACCTCCCACCATCTTCTGCTGGGATTGAGCGCGTATTTTCGTCTCTAGGCTATGTACACAGCGACGTTAGAAATCGACTTGGTCAAGAGAAGGCTGCGAAACTCGCTTTCGTGCTACGCGCTCTCAAAAAAGAGCACTATTTTTGATAAATCATTGAATGATTTGTTTGAACTGAATTCAATTTTTAACCCTGTTTTTTAACGTTTTTTAACATTTTTAACGTTAAAAACTGTTAAAAATCTTGTGAGGGTGTTAAAAAGCCAACCCTGCCAACCCCGTTAATTTTCGAATTAAGAGGCTCTTAGCATAATGGTAAGGCGTTCACTTTGAAATCGTCAGATCGTGTTTTCGATCCCATGCCATGGCAATGATACTGTGTTAGGACGAGCTCTCAGTTAACCTCTAGCTTCAGGTCTACCACAGGCTGACCAAATTTGGCTGCAATAGTGGTAGCAAGTGAAAGTTCTAGAGGCAAAAAAAATTGCCTTGAGGTTCAAAAAAAAGAGCTCAACACAATAACACAGTATGGAATGTGGGAGATAATACAAATGAACTATCCTCGACAGGACTGTTAAGGCCTACTGATAGCTCCTCTGGGATTCTCAGGAACCACGTTTTTTGGGCAGTGGTGGTGAAGTGGTTACGTCTCCGCCTCTCAATCAAAAGATCGGATGTTCGAGGCCCACCATGATCCGTGCTCGTTGCGGAGGGTGATGCAGCATTGCCCAGTCCAGAAAAATAACCAAACAAATGCATGTAATTCTTAAGCAGGGGCACAACAGCGGTTCGACGTGATGAGCTGTACAGCTCGTGTGTTGGTCCTTTCCCTTCCGGATAAAGTTCTGCCGAGTATAAGACACGCAAAGTTTTTCAGACGTTTGTAAAGTGTTTTAGGGTGCCACATATTGATGAGTGAGAACTTTCCGACCAAATGGGTTAGTTCGGGTCGGGTTCCGGATATTTTTTGGTGCTGGTGAATCGTTTCAAATTCGGGCGATAAATTTGGGCATTATTACCCCCCTGATTGAGAGGAAAACGTCAAATTACGAAGTTATTTGTAACAACAATGGCAGTGTCGATGTGAAGGTCTATAAAGCTACCCTCGTTGAAGCAAGGTGAATAATATAGGCCTCCCACCTATCATTACCAAATGAAGAAAACTCTGGTTATCCTGAGCCTAATATGCTGCCTGTAATAGATGCTCTGCGAGTTTGCAAATAAGATGGGAGTACACTCGATGTGGTTGAGGGCACGCCAAATGAAGAAAAATCACGTTGTGTTTTGTTTTTCAGATCTCAGCAATGAAACTGCTTTAAACGATAAGTTGATAATAACAAACGTCACAGAACAGCAGGGGTTAAAATTACCAACAGAAGTGAACTGACTTAAGATGTCTGGAAGTACTTCCAGCTGGCTGTCCAATCTGGCCTCGAAGGCGGAGACAGTTCTGAACCAGATAGATGAGACGGCAGCCACTGCGCTACACACTCCTAATAGTCAACAGCAGCAGACTGACACCAAAAATCAATATGGCGGGGGAGCGAATAGTGATGACAGAAGAAAAAATAGCAGAAATGGAGGAAACACTAAGTCCCCATCTTCCAGGTACCTTTCATCTTAAACTCTTTTAAAGGATCTTCGATGATCATAAAACAGCTGAATTTAAGTGATTTTTTGACAAAATATCATTCTGGATGGTAAATAAAGATAGTTTTGACCAAAGTATCATGTACATTTTCCGAATCATTGCATCCCTAAAAATTGCTAATGGAACCTATCCGAAATGGTTGAATTGAATTCCTCTGAAGGCATTTATGTCCTGGTCACTGAAATGGGCCTGGTGATATTGCTGTTGATACAGGTCGAGACAGATGAGGAGAGGTGAAATTTATCAGCAGCAGCAACATCAACCGCAGAGTAAGAGAGTTTTTGGCCCTGGTCACGTGAGGAAACTGTCCTCGAATTCCCTGGACGTGGATACCAAAGTGACCTCCAACAGCAGACCCAGTTCAGTCAGCTCAACCAAGTCCAACAAGAGCGAAGGCGGTGAGACAATGAAGACTATGATTCTATTACCGTTTCGGCAACGTCGATTCTTAATGTATAACTTTCGATCACGTAGTTCCATTGTTATTTCACATGCGAGAGCAAAGGTACTCGTAAAATTTTGCATGTAGACAACATCTGATTTCAAGTTTATTTGGTTTTCTTTCATACTAAACTTTGTGCTTCACTGGTTAGACCATAAAATCAATGTTTTTTTTGCTGGTGGTACAATTTTTTCCAATCGTTCAAACAAAGATTACCCTGATTATTTGAATGATAAGGATAAGTCACAAGGGAAGAATCATGGTAGCATTGGTGGATCTCGCCCCCTTTTGCACAGAATTAGGCGAGTTTTTGGGACTTTTTCAAGCTCTGAGAAAGATTATTTCTCCGATATCAAACAAAACTCATACAAAACTTGAAGCACGATGATTTATGATATATAGGGGATAGACGAACGGTCCTTTTGGTATGTCTATTAAAGGTCTACCCGAAACAAAAAGTACACTCAATGAAACAAGCACGATTAACATTATTTAAATGTTAATCGTGCAGGATTAACATATATAAGAGCTTCAAGAGGAAAAAATGAAGAGGAACATTGAAATTAGAGTATTTCTTGCATGTTGTATCTTGTTCAACGGTGGCTAGTGTTTACATAAGCAAATTTTGTGTTATAGTATGAACTATCTTTTTTTTACAACCTAAGTCGCAAAAATTGTTGCGACGCAAATAGTGTTGCGTCAAAATGTGTTCATTTCGATCAATAACTAGCTATTAAGTACAGCCAATGCTAAGGATATTAACTCAGACTAATATATTACAAATAGAAGGAGAGCCGCAAGATGGTTCGAACCTGGGCAGGGTCGGAAGTTTTTTAATGAACTTTTTCGTATACTAGCTAAATTGCGTCCGCTGTATAAATTGAGGCATGTAAGTTGGTATTTTTTTTTCAAATTAACTGGTACTGCTAATGGGTCGTAATTGGCTTGCGTCACTTAAGAAATTTTGTAGACTCAACTTTTCTCATTCAGTTTTTCCCAGTACCGTTATCGGTCATATTTTTGCTTGTGTATGCGAAGTGCAACTTCGCCTCTGTTTTGACAATTGTCAAGCAATCACGACGCAGGTGCGAGGTCGTGTGACTCTTAATGTCGAGACTGGGATTCGATTCCGGTACACAGCAAAGTTTTTTTCAGGTTTTTTAACTGTCTTATAAAAACTTCACTTATTTTTTTAAAAAACGTTGACTTGTTTTAGGACATAACTCGTTGAAATATTTTGGTTTTTTATTTTTTGTTCCGACTATATGAAAAATGTGGAGGATCTTTGTATTCGGATGTGTTTTCGTTTTTTTCCAGGCAAAATTAGTATGCACAAATAATTATTGGAATGGGTCGAGTCATATATCATATTATAGGGCTTTCAGTCGTGATTCGAACGAAATAAAATGTCGAGAAAAACCAATTTTTGATTTTTCATTTAATTTCAAGCTAAGAGGGTTAGCGTGCAGGCTTACAAAAGCTTATTTATGCTTAATCTAAGCCATGAAAACTTACTTTTACTCGAGTAAAGTTCGTTTTTGAGCGCCATTTTGGGAATCAAAAACTTCAAAATTCAAACAATTTCTGCAATAGTTTGAATTTTGTACCATTTGTTTTCGTTTCTTTGGTGTTTTTTCTACAAAAACTGTTTTCCAATTGGCCTATTTTACCTTGACTGCAGAAAAAAAAAACAAAATTAATATGAAAAACCTTTTCCTATTTTTTAGGAACATTCTGTGCTACTTGCACAGAAGGTCGGAAGAACATTCTGTGCTACTTGCACAGTAACCGGCTATTGTTTGAATTGCGTTCGTCTTTTTTCGAATTATATCGCAAGAAGGTTTTAAGCTTGGCTTCGCCTTTTTTGAATTTTCGAATTTATGGTAATTTTTTTTCAGAATTAAAATTAGAATTAAAACTCTAATTTTTGAACTAATACGCTGTATATTTTAGCCTTGCCATTGTACGTTGATCCCTTTTCCTCGCGACACGCCCGTGATCACACTCTCGGACGGGGCGAGGCGGAAGGGGAGGGCGAGGAAGGGTATCTGGATCAGCAGGATCACAGTCCCAAGAGTGGGATTGAGGACAGCTTCAGTCAGGTGACTAGCAACTCAGGCAGCAGTTACCTCCAAGTGGACCCCCATAATGACTCAATCACTCTTGCATATGAAGAAGATCAACAATTCAATGCAGAGGTTAAACATTTTGTCCCGTCTTGTAACATGAAAAAGAAGTATACAATATGGCGATCTCAAAAGAAACACGTTTTTTTTTGTCTAAGGCGGAAAAAATTTATGCTGAAAGTCAAAAAGTGCTATCAATCATAAGTGCTGCGATAAATGGGCTGCTGTTTGTCTTGAAACTTTTTCATTTGAATTTTTTTGCCACAATTTTTTCTTGGCAATTGGTTTCAACAAAAGTGTCATTGAGCGAATGAAGAAATGTGATTTTTCAGCGGTTTGACTTTCTATTTACTTTCAAGTTAAATTCAAATTCATTTGTTAAAAGCAAGGCAAATTACGCTCTCTAAGAGCAAAAATGCGAATCGCGCGAAAAAAAAACTACAACGCTTTTAGGTGCTAGACAGGGGCGGATCTAGGATTTTCTCGAGGGGGGGGGGGGCGGGTTTTCAAAAAAATTCGAAAATTTTGACCTTTTTTTTTTAGGTCGACCAAATTGATTTTTCGAGCTCTCCCAAAGCAGTGTTTTGCCCCTATTTTGGCAGAATTTTCTGGGCCGCAGGCAAATTTTTGAAAAAACAGTCAAAAAAGCCGTTTTTGGGCACTTTTTGAAAAATTTTGACAAAAAAATCGCGTTTTTTTTGGCGCGCGCTCCCCCTCAAAGTTAGTATATATTGGCGCCAAAGGCGCCTTTAGAAAAATTTTAGGGTCGGTCGGGCAAAAATGGATTTCTGAAAAAGTGTCAAAGGGGGGAGCCTTTGGGTCGGCAGGGGGTCGAATCCCTGAGGGGAGGGGCGTCCGCCGCCCCCCCCCCCCCCTAAATCCGCCCCTGGTGCTAGACCTTATTTTTATATATCCCAGCGGAATAAAAAAATACCTTTTGACCCAGTTTTCCATAATTGGGTTTGTTTTATGAAAAAAGCCCACGTGCTCGGGCCTGTTATTGTTAAGATTTTGATTACAGGCAGATCGACGAGGAAGCGATAAAAACATAAGATAAGAAGCGATAATCGACCATGGTGCCAAAGATGGTATATTGGTTCGATTAGTACCAATTTACAATCAGTTCAGAGCATTAGGTAGAAAAAACCTAACTTATGATTAATAGCTTTTTGTTGGTTTTTTGTGTAGTTTTTTGGTGTCCAAAATGTTGCCTCGCCCTCAAGCAGCGACCTCTGTTTAGATGTTGAGCTCACTGAGTCAAGAGAACAAGTTGCTTAAAAGCGAACTGCAGTCCCTCACTCAGGAGTTGAACTCTGCCCTGAATAGACAGAGGGACTCCGAATCCAGACTGAAGAGACTCAACCAAGACTACGACCTCAAGTGCCACGAGGCCAACGAGATGTTCAGGAAGTTGCAGAATGTCGAGCTGGATCTCAGTGGTTAGCTTTTCAGAATGAATATAATTTTTGTGAGAAGGACTGACTCTGCAGAGAAACGTAGGCCCATGTGAACAATCTTCCCATGAATTGACCAAGTGAACAATCTCCTCCCTAAAATTAAATGGCAATTTCAAGCAGTAAGGCCTACATGAACGTTGCTCAAATCTGATGGGCTGAAAAATACTAAGAAGAAGAAGAAGAATTTATTTCTCCATATAGTTGATAATACAAGCATCAATTTTTTAAAATTATTAAATCAACAAAATGGAGGGGATAGACAAAAGGCGCAGTATGTGCCTACTTGACGTCTACCCGTTGAACAAATTAGGATTGCAACTAAGTAATAAAGATAAATTTATATTCGAATAAAAATAGGATTGTGGGGAAAATTTATTTTTCCCTAAAATTAAGCCCTCATTAAGGAATAGTTATTACATCTAGTCCGTTCATTTCGGCCAATTCTCATTCCAGCTGAAGAACTAAAAATATGAGAAAACATATGAAAAAAAAAAATCTAAGGTTTTTCATTTTTTTAAAAAATTTTCTAAAAAATGCGTTTTCTCGAAAACTACAAGGATTTGGAGGGTCATATTTTCAGCATAGAATCGGAACCCTAGAATGGTTGTTTGATAGCATTTAGCCAGCGGGTACCATTTTTTAAAAATAAAAAATTCAAAGAAATATGTTTTGCACCAACTCGTAATTGCCACAAATGAAATTATCTTTAAACTTATGGACGAAACTGTATTCTTCATTTTTTGACATCAATCCAATATTTTCAGGTAAGAGCTTATTTATACTCATAATATTCAATAACTTTCAACCCCTATTAGTCAAAGAACATGATTTTACCTTATTCTTGCAGAATGGTGGAACAAATGTTCGACCTTCTGAAATTCGCGTATTATAGGCAAAGTTTTTTAAAGTAAACAAACAATTGAGAAAACAAGTTGGATGTTTTTGATTTAGTGATCGTAAACAAATTTTCATCAAAATCGTACACATATAGCTCATGAACTGTTAGTATTTTGTCATCAGAAAAGAATTTATTAATGGTATCAAATTTCCTTTTGAAGCAGATCATGCGAACAATTTTTCGTTGCATATTCAAAATTGGGCTTAAAAAAGAAAAACTCGTGCCGCCATAGACGAGCAAGCCATATTGTATTATTGGTTTGATATTCGACATATAGTATTTCAGTGGGATGGATCTTGGTACATAATGTCTCATTTTTGATATTACAGCACAGTGACGACCTAGTTTTGATTGAACATTCTATATATGGTGAAAAAATTTAAGCTTATCATCTACAATGACACCTAGGTATTTGCAAAAAAGTTTCGGCTGAAAAGTAAAATCAAGTCTATCAAAAAAAAGATTGGAAACACTTCTATCCTTAGTAAAATTAATTAAAGTAGTTTCATCTGAGTTTAAGTTTAATTTATTTGAACAAAACCAGGAAGAAATTTTGGTCAAATCTAACTGGTATTCTTCATAGATAGATGTTTGACATGATATGTTTGTATCATCTGCAAATAGAAACACATTTGAATTGCAAACTGCGTGCTGTATGTCGTTAATATAATCAAGAAACAAGAGAGGGCCTAAAACAGAGCCTTGCGGTATTCCCGTGTTTACTCGCAACCAATCAGATGAACAGTTGTTTACATGTACACATTGATACCTATTGGATAGATAGCTTTCGAACCATTTGTAGCAATTTCCACGTACTCCATAACATTCTAATTTCCTCAAAAGAATTTTATGGTCCAGCGTATCAAATGCCTTTTTTAAATCAATGAAGAAGCTACTTTTAATGTTTTTTATCAACAACTAGTCTTAATCTTTCAGTCAATTCAGCTAAAGCATCAACTGTGGCAAACTTCTTCCTGAACCCAAACTGACGATGATACAGTAATTCGAACTTTTCAAGATAGTTGTAAAATCGAGACTGCATGATTTTTTCAAAAACTTTGCTGCAGCTACTTAAAAGTGATATTGGACGGTAATTGCTCATAATTATTCTGCTATCAGCTTTATGAAGAGGTAAAACCCGAGCATACTACTATTAACCAAGTGAACAATCTCCCTCCTAAATTGATTTAAAGGGGAGATTGTTCACTTGGTCCGAAACGTATACAACGCTTAAACCAAAAGATTCTTGCGATGAAGCAAAAAAATTTCGGCCGATCGATTGAGGATGTTCTGATGTTTTCATTATGCCGATGCTGATATATCCTTCCCGTTTCTGGTGGTTGTTGGAAAGTGGTCAGTTAGGAATATATGCTTTTGAATTATAAATCGGGAAAACGATTGACGAATAACTGACTCAGGCTTAAAAAAGTAGTTGTTCACGTAAATGTTACTAGATGTTGTAAATTTTTGATTTTTTTAAGCTTTATATAGGAACAGAAAAGTACATCGATGTTTCAAATTGTTCGAATTGGTTAACAAGTTGAACATTTATTTTGTTTCAGAGGAGATCAAGGCTCGTGACTCGCAGATTGCAGGCTACAGAGTGAAAGTGAACGAGTTGAGTGACAAGATAGCTGCTCAGAATGAGTCCCTTCAACAAATAAACAACGAAAAGGTTGGATTTTACTTAGAAGATAAATACCTAATACTTATAATGCTCGTTTTCTCCAATAATGAAACTACTTTGTTGTAAAACCGGGTGACTATGATTGTTTTGGGAACACTTTGCACATCGAATAATGCTTAATAATATCCTATTGAAGCTCAGTTTTTGAGTAAACCCAAGCACCCGAATTTTTTTTCGGACCATTATTGGGTTGCGTCTTACCACATATCGGATATCTTGTTGTAGATCCGATGGGTGTCTTATGACTAAATGGATATCGTATGTCAAACCTGGGTGTCCTGACACTAAAGCGGATGTGTTGTTCTAGATCCGAATTCTGTCGGACCACCATGCCTCGAGTGGAGTGCACGAGGAGAGTGTGACCCAGATGCAGACTCAGCTGAAGGAGGCACAGGAGGCATTCAACTCTCAGATAGAGCGGGAGAGGAGGGAGAAGGAGGAGACACAACACAAACTGCAGCAGGCGGAAGACAACATACAGGTGCGTGTGAACTTAAGGTCAGTCCTAACAATTGGGACACGATTTGTTTGCTAATGTCAATCAACGAAGTAAACTTTCTTTTTTTTAAGTAGCGTTTTTAATTGTTTGTTTTTTGTTTTTTCTCAAAAAAAATTAATTTACGCATAATCAAATTTATACTTTTGATTTATATTTTAACACACTTCAAATTCATTAGCTAAAAGGAAAAAACTGTGCTCCCCAATAACAATAGCGTAAATGGCGCGAAAAAGCATGAATGAGCTATGTTTCAAAAATTAATTTAAAATTGAGTTATAGTATGGTGGAATCCCGAAGGACCGAATGCGCGAAAATAAAAATCAGATTTCACTGATCTAAAATGTGGAAAGAAGGTAAACATTTCCAGGGACTGAATATTGATATTGGCCGAATATAAAAACTACAAAAATATGCAAATTTTTCAAATTGTCACTGACCGCCGCCGATTTGGAACAAACTTTCGTTATGAAAGATGCAAAATATTGCTTCATTTAATTCATTTGAATTGAATGGCAATTGCTTTTTAAAAAAAATTGTTTATCGGCGAATTTTGTTTTCGGTCCTTCGCCCTCAAGTATTTTCGCCCATTCGGTCCTTCGCGCATGAGAATAGCCCCCCTTATAGTATCCTTTATTCAGACCCTGACGGCGGAGTTGCGTGAGGTGAGTGGCAGACTGCAGAGTGAAAAGCAGACCAGTGGGGACTACTTGCGACAACTCAACTTGGCCAAGCAGAGTGTGGAGGAGAGCAGGAGTGAATTGAGCGACTACAAGAACAAAGCTGTCAAGATACTACAGGTACATAGAATCACAATAAATAACTGAAGACAGTCAGAAGACAGTTGAACGTCTGATTTATAGTATTGGGTTCCAGAGCTTAATTCTGGTCTTTTAATTCTGACAAGGGAAGTTTGTTTTCGTTTTCAAGGTTCCCACGGTTTTCATGCTTGATAGGTATTCTTTGCAATTGTTGTTTGTGCTGCAGGCGAAAGAGAAGTTGATCGCGGAGATGAAGATGTCCTTCATGGAGGGGAGTGGGACCAGTTTGGGTGGTGGGGAGGAGGGTTCATCTTCTTATCATCAGATGGGAGAATCGAGTGGCAGTGAGGGGGGACTTATGACCAGGAGTCAGCATTCTCCGGGAGCGAGCAGTTCCCACTTCGAAATGATGAAGTAAATGAAAATCATACTGGGATATTTTTCCACTTCTAGGCAATTACATATTACCAAATATTTGGTAAGGATTGTTGTGAAGAACAAGAATGTATAGAATAGATAATTAAAAATTGAACTAGGCGGAAAAAAGTTCTGTTTGTGATTCCAAAGTTTTTTCTTTTCTGACGTAATTTTTTTTTAGTTTCCTTCTGCAAAATTTTTTGTTCCCTGCCTTTTTGAAGTGGTGTTAATCACATATAAATGTCATATTTGCTGTCACGCAAAGATTGTTCACGATTGAGTTTGCTTTTTCGGGGTTCGACTTCTGATTTCTTTTTAAATCAATTCAATTTCATTTGCTAGAAAAGGCAATTAACGTTACGTTCTTAAATGATGATAGTATAGTGCACATGGTGCGAAAAAAATGTGGATGATTTTTAAGCTTGAAAATTGATTTTAGTGATAAGATTTCTTAGCGGAATAAAAAGTAATGGAATAAAAAGTAAAAGAAAATGGATTTCTTAAAAAGTACCAAATGGGGGACTCTTTGGGTCGGCAGGGGGTCGAATCCCTGAGGGGGGCGTCCGCCCCATTCCCCTAAATTCGCCCCTGATTCTGTAATATTTCAAATTTTTCAACAACTTTAACGTGATTTTTGTCCAAATTGTTTTTTCGATTTCCTTAAGCTCATTGAAATTGCTCCAACTTTATATTGGTCTTGTTTGTAGGCGTTACCACTTTGAGTTCGGGCTTATCTTTATCACAAAGGTCCAATTTTGATCTTCTCTTTTAGAAATCAAAATTAAAAGCCTAAATATTTTGCCTCTGTTTTACTTCTGTTTCTGAAACTGATTGTGTTATGTTTAGGATGGAGTTGAGCCAGTACCGGAGTGAGTGTGAGTTGCTGCGGGAGGAGGTGGGCAGAGTGGGGGTGCAGTTAGAGAGGGCGAGGGAGGAGTTGAGCGCGAGTGAGCAGAGCAGCAGCCAACATCACCTCTCTCTCACTCACGACCTCCAAGCCACACACCACTCGCTACAACAGGAAAAACACAAGTGAGAAGAATTCTATTGAGTGAAAGCGAGGGGAAACATTTTCAATAATTTTTTTGGGGTCGGTGAAATTAATTTTCGCAACGTATAGGAGACGTTATGATTTATATTTCGCGGTTTAACAAAAATGTTAGCGGCTTGACAAAATTGTTTTCTTAAAATTGTAGCAAATGGGAACCCTTTGGGTGGCGAGAGCATTGAAATTTGAGGGGGAAATTCTTCCCTACTTTAAATCCGCAACTGTATGACCCTTTGAAGTTTTCAATATTGAGGCAAATAAATCTGCCTTAGAAATTCAAGTTTATTTTAAGTCTAAATCAATCTGAGTTTTTCAATTGAAATAGTCAGTTTCCATTCGGTATCTTACGTTCTATTTTCCATTGAAAAAGTAATGCAAGTGGTTAGCTTTTTGATACTTTGTGTTGTGGTTAATCGAGTAAAAAAGAAGAAGCCAATTTTCCGTGCTAGGACACGGTATTTAACTTCTTCCTCAATTGTAATGCAAAACATAAAATACGTAATCGCGATGTTGATATTTTGACAGAGTTGCAATGTTGGAAGAAGAGTTGAGTAGAAACAAAGAAGAGCTCAACGTAACCAGTCGAGAACTCCTTTCAGTCAAGGAAAAACTGTCTCGCACAGTAGCCGAGAAAGATCAACTCATATCAAAGCTGCAGGCGGAACTAATCTCAATCCGAAACAGACCGCAAGCAGCCGGAAGCGAAGAGTTCGAGGCCAGAATCCGGACACTTACGGATACTCTGTTGTCAAAACAATCTCAAATCGAAAGACTGAACTCAGAGAAACAGTCTCTTAACTTCCAACTAGAGAGAATGGCGTTAGAGAACTCAAGCGCAAATGGCAGCGTGAGGTCGGGTTCAACGAGGGTTAACATGATGACGACACACCTGGACGACGATGGTCTCAAGGCGAAAGGGATCCCATTGTTTTGCAGGGAGTCAGCATTTGACAACCAGGCGATCCGTTTGATGAAAAAAGGCCTCCTTGCAATAGACTCTTTCTCTCTCACAGTCGGCGTGTATTTCCGCAGATTTGCCTTAGCGAGGGTTTTTATAGTCATTTACGCTTTGCTACTTCATCTCTGGGTTACGATAGTGATTCTCACTTATAAACCCGAAATGCATTCTGATGATTTTCAGCCCCAGCTCAATCCGAGGCCCAAGCTTGACTGAAATAAAAACAGAACAAAACTTCTTTAATCCCCTTCTCGCCCTTGTTTCGTGATAGTGGTTTTACTCCACCGTTTTAGATGCCGACGAGTTCAGCCCAATTTAGTACATGTTCGCTTCGTTTTAAAGTACATTCTGTAGCATAAAACTTTTTTGCCACGTGCTCAGATAATATATATTTTGAAGAATCTTTGCAAGATCGTGCCAAAAAGTATGAAAATGGGAAGAAATCTGAAGACAAAAATCAAAGATCGCAAAGAATATCGTTATGCAGATAGTTTTCGAAGATTTTTGACATTGAGATCTCCACATTTTCAAGGTTTTAGATTTTCAAAAAATCCCGGAATGCGAGCGCGGGAAAACAATTGATTACACATACAATTTACTGAATCAAAGCTCTAAATAAGCATTGAATAGAAAAATTCACTAATAATCATTCGAGTTTGATTTTATTTGAGTAACGCAATATAAGCACTCCATAATAAAAGATAATCAATTTAATTTCTGAGAAGTTCGCTAATAAAATGGAAACAAAAGTAAACAATAGGGCATTTCAAACACTATAAGGCACATCATATGTGATTCTGGGAGTTAACGTTGATATAAATGATAAAAGACAGTTAAAATTTAGGCTAATTGACCATTTGATCAAAACACGCAAAAAATGGATTTCTTAATGATCAAACATAGAACAAAGAAATTCGAAAACTTTAACTATTAACAGTGCAAGAAAAACTTGTTACAATTTTTTTTGAATTGCGGAAAAATTGTATGAAATTTTCTTAAAATGCGAAATTTTCTTTGATTTTTAAACTTGCGTGCTAAAATCATTGTGAAAAGTTTTCAAGTTGCAAAAAATGTTATGATGTTTTTATCATGTGTGCAAAATTGTAATGATTTTTTAATGTGTATGAAAATGTTCTGAAAATTTTTACAAGATGACAAAATTGTTTTAGTTTTTTCACCATGTTTGCAAAAATTCTGTGAAATGTTTTGCAAATTGCAAAACTAATATGATTTTTTAACCCCTGAGCGAAATTGTTTCAACAAAGTTATCTATTAAAATTCTTACCTCTTACAATATTTTTTAAATTTGTTTGTTCCTATCTCTTACAAATAAAAATAAAAGATTTTAAAAAATTAAATTACCAAGCACAAGACAACAACCAAACTATTACAAATCAATGCTGTCGAGCAGCTGAGTTCTCCAAATTTTGCAAGTTCTCAATGGAGCGCAAAGCTTGTCTTGCCTCCCTCGCCGGTGGTTTGCTCTCTGGAGTCCTTGGATCAGAGAACCCCTCATCTTCTTCGATTAAAAGTGAGTTCTCCACAGATACTTCTTCCCACAGAAATCATTCAGTTTGAGCCACATATCTGGAGTCAGGAACCTCGGGATAATCCATTCCAACTTGTTCTGCAATCTGAGACACCATCTCCATCGTTCCAAGCTGATTATCGGTGATGGGAACCTGCATCTGGTGATATCGTGGAGCATTGGATTAAGTCATTAATTTTGCTTGCCAATCAGAAACAGTCAATTGAATTTTACTTCAACTTTTTAAATTCCTGTTTACTTTTATGTTTTTTAAATATTGCCCGCTCCTAATCAAAACGTGAAAAAGTGAAGTGTCGAGACTGTGGAATCAGGTATGTTAGGGCTCATGCCGCTCGGCATCAAAAAAATGTACTCAGGGAGTCCTTTGTAATAACCTCACTTTGCCTCTTTCTTTTTACAGATGATTCATGTGTTTAACGGCACTTTGTTCTAGCAGTATCTGCATGTATGGATGCGAAGGCCCGACAGTGTCTTCGACCTTACCTCAGCTTGACTGAGAGAACAAATTTAGGTCAGTATAGAGATTTATTATTTTCACTCCCGACTTTTGTATCTCACTAATAATCTCTCTCCCTTCTAATTTGTTCATATTATTAACCTTAGGTAAACAATAATTCATTCGGTCTCATAACTTTAACAACTTAAATTAAGCAACTAAACATAGCATGAAATTATCATTGAAATTATCATGACTATTAATGACACCACTTTAGGGGTGTCACATTAACCGCTATTTATATAAATTTTCCGGGTTGATTGAAATTAACACTGAGGTAAGAGTTTTAATTTTATTAACGAGGTTTAATGTAAATTTAGGTGAAACTTTAGTCTACTTCGTTTAGCTGCAATTTTTAACAGTCGAGTAAACTATGAAATAATTCTATAAAATTCGCTTCTATATAATAATAAATCTTATTCACCAGATAGGTTTTTCAAACTGAAAATACCACAAGGTTATATCAAATTGTTATGCAGCAAATATACACTAATTTAGAGATAAAGTTATATAAACTTTGAGGCAAATGCATTGATTCCGTTATTGAGTAATGTTATCAAAATTACATACACAAAATGTGTATTGGATTAATGTTAACATCACAGATTAAATGATAACTTCAGGAATGTCGAGCAGTCTTCTGAAGAATCATCGATTCATTAAATTAATTTAATTAAACCTCGATTTCTGCAAAAGGGGATAGATAGCTTTTTGTTAGCTAAAGATAAACCACCATGAGAGTTATTAAAGTGATTGTTAAATTGTTTGATAAATTAAATGATGTAATCAGGTTTTCCTCTAATGGGGATGAAATGGCGACATGTACGCATCTCAGTCTTTTCCTTTACGGTTAGGCCGTCTGATCGTTGTACTGGGCACCAATTTGAATAGAGGGTGGCTGTATACCAAGAATTCCTGAGTTCGGAGTCAGTTTGATTCCTCCGTTAATGTCTCTGGAAGTTGTCCTTTGCTCTCCTGTTGCTGATATTTCGCCAAATGATCTCGATCTTGTCATATCCATTCTACTGCTTTCCATTGATCTTGTCTCGTCGTTCAATGTGCCGTCTTCCATTTGTCTGCGCCGCTGCGGCACCGGAACAGTTTCGTCGATCACGTCTCGGACCGCGTACTTGTTTTGCCATTCTTCTCTCGATTCCATAAGTCTGGCTGTCTTCTCGTCTCTCGCGTTCATCAATATCCATTGCAACTCTGGGCTTTATTCCAATATCTGCATGTGCTTTCTTTAAGAATCGTGTAGTGATTTCCTTGACTGCTTTGAATCGGTGGAAGAGGTAAGTGTACAAGCATTGAAGCAGTGTACTTCCAATAAAAACAATTACAGTTAGAGTAAATGAAAGTTTTATCGGAATATAGCTTTCAAGTTTCCGTGAATGATGGTTTCAAGAGTTTCACTCCGTGAGCAATAGGTTTTGAAATTTCATTCAGCTGTTCCATATTTGTAGCAATCGGGCTATCGATAAGCTTCGCTTTTATCTCTTTCAAAAGTTTGATCCCCGCATCTGTCCTTGATATAAATTATGGTAGTTCGTTTATTTCCGGAATTTCCGACATGAGATGCTTCAATGGATCTGACAGTTTGACGTTGATTCGTCTTGCCGGATTTTTGTCGCAACTCCCAAGGTCGGGTCTAATCTTGGTATTCCGGGAAGCTTATTGCGTCCTGCAATCTAGTGTGATGATGCATATGTTGCATCCTAAGTGTTCTTTGTGAGACGGAGTGTGAACCTCATTCAGGTTGTACTCCCACAAAGATCACTGGGTAAAAGCAATTTTTTTAATCGAGATTTTTTTATTCGACTGTTCTCGATAAGCAGATCTTTTCTTTTTTTTCAGTTTTTGGGGGTGGCAGTTACGATTGGGGTAGATCTAATGGTCAACTGGAAATATGCAGATGATGGTGCTTGGTTTCGCTATCCTTGTATCAATGAGGCTACCGGTTCCCGTGGGTGTATATTCATCCAGGCCGCATGTAAAAGGATTGGTCAGCCCTACCATGCAGAGCCTCTGCTTAACATCCTCGTGAAGAGGTAATTAAGTTGATTCTGCGTTTTACTGATATGTTTAATTAGTTGTGTTCGACTTTTCCTTTATTTACACGGAGTTTTGTCTTTCTTTCACAGTCGTTCTTTCATTTAGCACCGTTGACAATTTTGATGCCTCTCATGTAAGCGGTGAGTTAGATCCCAGGTCGACAAAAAGGCTCCGATCTGATCCAGCTCTTTATTATGGGTCTTCCGATTACTCAAGTTGAAACTCATGTTGCGAACTTTATCCAATTTTGTAATCAGGATCATTTTTTTCTTCCTACTCAGAGTAATTAATTTTCTCTGCCATTGGAAAGCTGTTGGAGGATGTTTAGGCTGCGCCTGCTTGTTCATAAGCGATAAGCATTGAGATGAAAAGCTGAAAATTGATTTTTTATCTAGGTTTTTAATCGAAGTTTGGTCTAATGCGTTCGACCGGAATAGGACTTTTTTTTCTCCAGATTTGATCTAACCATGATCAATCGATGCAGAAGGGTCGATAACCTGCCCTTGTTGAAGAGTTATTCGAGCTATCGCGATTTTTTTGAGAGTTATCGTTTTTCAAAATCCGTGATTTGTGCAATTTATCGGTGTTTGCTCTTATTTAGGGCCATCGACTATTTCAAGAGTGAGTTTCTCGCTGAAATATTGACTGATTCGTGCGGCTCACGTTGTTTTGCAAACACTGTGCTCCGTTGAGAGTGTCACAATGTACCCTTTTTGAGTGAAGCAACATTTTTATCCTCGATTTTTTTTTTTTTGAAAAAAAAAGCTTTTTTCATTATTCTGAACACTTTTGATCGCTTTGTAGCTTTGAGTGGGCCATGAGATACAAGGTGATACCATAAGATGGTGTTTCCAGCGTACTGTAACAATGTCCAGCGTACTGTAACAAGGCTGCATATCATATACCCAAATGAGGTTTTATTTCTGTTCTAGGTGTCGAAAGGAGACGACTGATTGTTTTCATCATCATCATTTTCATCGTTCGTTATGACTGTGTCGTCTTAACTGTGTCATCATTTTCTCACATCCATCGTGGTGGAGCGTATCTGGTAGATTAAGCTAACTGTTATACGTATAGGTACACGGTAATATCTGTTTTTCGAAACATGTCCTCAATCATTCGATAAACTGTATCGAAGTTTATTTTGTCGAGTCCATAGCCGAGTTTCGTTAACGCGATCTGTTTAATTCGGTGGCGCTTAAGTTGCGTTCTTAGTTGGAAGAAGCTGACTGATAGATGATGATACGGTGGGTACTCAAAAAACTGATTTTTCGTGATCAGGTTATGGATGAAGTTTTTTCGGTTTGGTTCAAATTATGCGATTGACGATCCAACTTGAGGATTTTCGATTGAAAACGTTGACGGT